AAGACGGAAAGAAATCTTATTTTCGAAAAGTTGTGTTCTTTCGGAACACTAATATAAGGAAGTAAAAAAGTAAAGCTATCCCTGTAAGAGACCATGGAGGACAATAGGGTTGTGAGACTTCGAGGCTCCCACATTTCCTCTAGACAATCGGCTCAAAGATGGCGGTAAGGTTGTCAGCCTTACGCGCCGGCCGCGCTCTACTCCCCAGGAAAATTATTTAATTAATTCCTGGTACTCATTTCTGTTAGAGGCTGAGTCGACCCGAGGGCCTAGTGCGGCTGGAAGGATTAGGTTAACTGAAAAAATCCAGTGACCTCATCGGGACTTGAACCCGCGACCTTCCGGCTTGTAGTATAGCCCCTCAACCAACTACGCTACAGTGTTCATAAACCCATAATCCCACATTACTTTGGGTAGTTTAAGTAATCTCCCAGAAAAGGGAAGATGTGAAGGTAAACTTTGTCCACAACACGAATAGAAGGCCCTAAGCCACAAGGTGGAGGGTCGCGGGTTCGATTCCCGATGAGGTCAGTGAATTTTTCACTTGACCTAACCCTTCCATCCGCACTATGGCCCTGGAGTCGACTCAGCCTCTAATAGAAATGAGGACCAGGAATCTTCCTGGAGGTAAAGGGCGACCGGTGCGTAAGGCTGACAACCTCACCGCCATCTGTGAGCCGATTGTCTAGAGGAAATGTGGGAGCCTCGAAGTCTCACAACCCTATTGTCCTTCATGGTCTCTTGCAGGGATAGCTTTACCTTTTTACCATGAAACTGAACACTGGACACGTTGATATCAAGATGACTAACTACTGCTAACGTACAGTACGTCCGTCAGGCACAAATTTCTGTTTTTCAGTTTTGATGCTTTATTGGAACGTTTTCACGCTGACGTTTCGCTGTTTCGCTTCTGAATAATAGAATTGCGTCACTAATCGCTAATAACCTGCTCGTGCAACTGATCCGTTGTTGTTGGTCTTGTCATGTAAGCACAAACAATACATACAAGTATATATATACATACGATACTCAGTGTTTTTATAAATAAATATAATTGTTAACATTCTTGAATACATTATTTCTTAGTTTCTAAAGTTATCTTATTTAGTAATGTGGGGGTTTTTATGGGTGGAATTGAGAGGGTGAAGTGTAACTGATTTGGACTTCCTTTTTACGGTGACATGGATCTCTGTGTTATTGTGTGGGGTTGTTTATATGCTCTTACTAAGCCGTCATGTTGTGTAGATACAGGTAATTATTAGGTTGTTGTTGTTGTGGTGAATGGGCGCGTATGATCTTGCGTGGTCAGTTTATTTTATATTCTGTTGTAGGTTTCTTGGTCCTGTCCTTACTATTGCAGTTCGTTATTGTTAGGGGAAACTGTTTTCTGGTGTCTTGTTCGGTTCCGAGTTTGTCGCTCCTGTAAGTCTGTGCTGCTTCGCTGCGTTGCTGAGAGTGAACTCAAGAACTTACGAATGCAAACCATTGTTAAGTTCAGTAATGTCAGTGAGGGTTGTAGCTAGCTTGGAATGTATAGTTTCGGATGAAACGGATAATACAACTTGTCAATCTTGTTAAGAGCCCCTTCTTGTACATCGTTCAGCGAATGCATCTGTTCAGGAGTTCGTCGCTATGTTTTAGTGAGATTAAATCCTGCAAAGAAGGAATTTAGTCGAGTTCATTCAACATGGAGAGGTCATTGCTCTTTGTGTCCCACCATCGAATTTGAAAATACTTCTGGGGTGTGACGCCATGTAGTGTCTTAGAAACTTACCGACGTTTCGGAGGAACGGACCGCGAAAAATAAGCCGAACAATAAATAATCAGAGCTGTGATTGTTGCTTGCTTAACGTACGTTGAACCTGAAGATGGAGGCAGCACTGTTCTCCGAAATGTCAGTGACCATCTGTCTCATTTTACGGTGCCGTATCCCCACTTCAATCACCAGGCGTCTACAGAATCACTGCAAGGATGCGTTACAGGCTGTGGTCTGTATTGCGAGGTGTTAAGGTAAAGTTGTCCCTGTACTACGCCATAAAGGCGTACGGGGGAGTGGATGTATACATCTATATTTTTTTGACCTCGGCACTAGCCGAAGGAGAATGGTCAGCTTAATGCCCCGTGCCGCTTTGCCCCGGGGGAAGGAGCCCCCGGTACGCATGGGATATGAGGTTGGGTGGACCCCAGAGCCGGTCTGGACGATTTGGAATGGAGAAAATTCTTGACCCTACCGGGACTCGAACTCCGACCGTTCAGTCCTGTCCGTAGCCAGTCGCTATGCCGACTGCGCTAGCCCGGCTCCTTATTACAAGGTGTTGCCCACAGTTTTCATGTGACAGCCTGCAGTGACTGCTGTAACGTTTTATTGACTGTTTTCTGCGGAACACTTGGGTTTGCATGAGAGGCTTAACAGTCCCCTGCTAGCACAAAACCACGATGATGTTACCATGGTAATGGCCCCCCGCTGCGGTAACTGTGCAGCCGTGAAGCTGTGGCAAGTGACTTCATTGTTGAGCTCCGTAGCGAATTGAATATCGGCAGTCAGTCGGAGGTGCTCTGTCGCAACGTACGGAAATCTGTCAACATGTCGGACCAGTCTGCTGCGGCAGCGTGTTATGTCATGGTTCTCACGGCGTTTGTCTTCTTGCGATGTGACGCCGTGTAGTCGGCCGAAGTTACTGCCTCCATCTACAGGTTGACGATATGCTAAGCAAGGAATGACGTAGAAGCGTGCCGCCAAGTTTACGTAGTAAATCTTCGACCCTGAAGATGGAGGCAATATATTTCTCTGAAACATCGGCGAGCTTCTACCGGTGTACACAGTAGATAATGCTGTTTAGATAGTTTAAGTTGAGTACACTTGCGCACATACATCGACTGCGGGCTATGATTGTAGCATTAGGCAGGCTGGATCATGGATCATAGGCAAATATAAATAAATAAAGCTATCCCTCTAGCAGGCCGTGGAGGCCCATACGGTTGTGAGACGTCGAGGCCTCCACATTTTCTAGACAGTCGGCTCACAGATGGCTGTGAGGTTGTCACCCTTACGCCCCGGGCGCCCTTTACCCCCAGGAATATTCCTGGTACTCATTTCTGTTAGAGGCTGAGTCGACCCCAGGACCATAATACAGCTAGAAGGATTAGATCAATTGGAAAATCCAGTGACTTCATCGGGAATCGAATCCGCGACCTTAGGGCTTGTAACATAATGCCTCAGCCGACTACGCTGCCGCGTGCCCCATAGGTGAGGGCTGTGTATGGAGTTGGAAGGTTTCTACAGATGTCGGCTGGGAACTGTGTAAGAATATCTGACGTAGGTGAGACGAAGCCGTCAGTTCCGGTCTGTTTCTCGGTGCTTCACACTTGTGGTGCCAAAACATCTTGTCCCGGCCGGCCGGCCGGACGTTTTCCACTCAGAAAGCCAACCTTGAAATACTTTAAAATAGAACCTCGAATTGCTTGACCTATATGTATCCCTGAAGCGCACGGCTTTCTGGGTCGTAACGCCGTGTAGTTGGCAGACAGACTGATGTTTCGTAGGAACATATCGCCTCCATCTTCAGGGTCGAATAGTAAGCCAAGGAAAAAACGAGCAGAAGGAGGCCGAAAGCTGAACTGCTTCTGCTGATTTCTTCATTTGCTCAAATTTCTACCCTGAAAAGGCGATATGTTCCTCCAAACCTCGGGATCTCTCTGAACTTCACGGCGTTACAACCCAGAAGGCTGTGCGCTTCACAGGCACCGCCGTGAGATGGGATCAAAGAGATCTGTGTTCCTTTGTAAACTTACTGGAAGCAGAGACTAACAGGAATCCACGCTCTCCTACTCCGAGTAAATCGATACAACAGCTTCAGGAAAGGTGTATGGAGAAGTGGAGTTAAACCACGGCACCAGTTGGAGGTGAGCGGTCAGCTTGAACTGCTTTGCCTTCGGGGAACGAGCCCCCGATACCCACTGGGTGGGCTGGGTGGGCCCCAGTGGCGGTTCAGACGCTTTGAAAAAGACAGAAACCTCTTGACTGAGCTATCCCGGCTCCTTCAGAAAATCACCAAGTGAACAGAGGTCGTTGCTGTTGTACACTGGACACTGGGAAGTACCTTCTGTCACGTGCAGGACACGGGTGTCCTGGGTTCCACTCTAGGAAGCTGGCACACCACACTCGCAACATGCCTAAGCTGAAGGGGCAGACAGATCAGTGTACTGGGGACAACCGAAGAATCAACACTGATGAAATTCTTCCATTGAAACAGGCGGCGCGAGGAGCGCATCTGCTGAGGTCCTGCATCCACTGGAGCGTTTGTCGTGGCTTGGGGCATTCCTTAGGGCCCACAGCAAGGATCGCATTTCTGGGAAATAGAAACCATGCACGAGGCAACAAAAGCAGAGCGGGACAGAAGCAGTATACCGGGTTGTGACACCGCGTAGTCTGGCAGGTGGTTACCGATGTTTCAGGGGAACCTGCTTCACGGTAAATATAGCTCGACGAAGAGAAATCAGCGTAGTTTGGAGGTTATTAAAAGATAAGGCTATCCCTGTAACGGGCCCTGGAGTCCCTTAGGGTTGTGAGACGTCGACGGTCCCACATTTTCTAGACAGCTCACAGATGGCGATGAGGTCAGACTTACGCCCCGGCCACACCTTTACCCCCCAGGAAGATCCCTCGTACTTATTTCTGTTATGGGCTCAGTCGACCCTAGGGCCATAGTGCGGCTGGAAGTATTAGGTTAATTGAAAAAAAATGCAGTGACCTCGTTGGAACCGAACTCGCGACATTCTGGCTTGTAGTATAACGCGGAGGATAGTACTAAATGAAACGTGGGGAACAGTTTGTTAGGAAGTTAACTGGGGTGAAGGGGTTTCTGTGTGTGTGTGGGGGGGGGGGCGTCGCTGCGGTGCCATCATAGTGGCAGCGGCGTCTGTGAGGGACAGTTGTTCCAGGAGTAGCCGTCCCAACTCTGGGCATGCACAGAAGGTGAGATGTGTAGCGAGCTACTTACCGAAGAGACAGTACACGACGCCGAAAACGAGGTACATGCCACACAGGATTGCCGTCGCGACGTCGTAGTTGTATTCTGGGTAGCGGCAATGCGTCACTGTTGTGGTGGCCACCCCGCCGTTGGGGAACCAGCCCCCCGTCACGTTTGGCTGTGGCCGCGCCGTGGGCAGCAGAGGCCCCGTCTGCAGACCCGACATTGCCTGTCGAACACACGTCCGTGTTACTGTTAGTGTGACGGATGGACAGCCCTCAAACAGCAAGTGGATTGCGCCAACGAAAAAAAAAATGCTGAGACTAAACCAACATTCCCAAAATATTTGAAGCCCACGTACGTGCTACTCAAATTCAAAGTTTGTATATTTAATCCCCCAAATTACTGCCGTACGCAGTACACGCAGGGTTTTTAGCTGTTTAAATTGGCACTCCTGCAAAAGAAGGTTCTTGTCGTCAGTGGCTCAGAACAAGCCACGGTGGCGTTCTTCCTCAATTTTCTCGTATCGGCATCCATTATTACAAGCGTATAATTAATAACTACATAACCTCTACAGCTGATACAATGCAGTTTAATCGAGTCACTGTCAACATCGATTATCGGCAGCGCAACTTTACCGTACCAGTGAAGATAAGTTACCTCATTATTGGACTACAAAGAATGACGGTATTATAACTTTCGTTATGCGAGCAAAGAGCAATTACGAATAAGAGCCTGTGTTATTAAGCTTTGTTTTATGAAAGTTTCATCTGTCGTTTAACCCCCTCTTTCTGGCTAACCTGTTTCGGAGTACAACGGAGAGTCAGTAAATAGGGCACAAATAGGCATGAAACATAAAACATATGATATTCGGACCTGGGAGAAAAAAAACACATTTATTTCTCGACATATCCTCCACCAACACTGATACATTTGTCCCATCGCTTTACCAGTGCATCCAAACCCGCAGCAAAGAAGTCTTTTGACTGTTGTCTCAGCCACTTCCGCACCTCTGTTTCAACCTCTTCAGCAGCGAAACGTTTGCCACCCAGTTGTAAAAAGCTTTCCGCGACAAATACTTCCCAACACAATATGAATATCCTCCGTATTGAGTCTTTTTGCCCATAAAAAACGCACAACAGAACTCTGCTCTTCGGTAGTATAATCCTCTAACATGGTCGCCATTTTTACTACTAAAACCAGCCTCTGAACTTGCGCATGCGCGTCTGCTACCTAGCTGGACTGCGCTCCTGCCTAGTGATACTCATAGCTAACCTATTACGTCCATTACAGCTGTTTTACTTCAATTTGTGACCTATTTACTGATTCTCCCTTGTAGGAGGTCATAGCAGGGAGGAGCCTTCCTTGTTTGAGACACTTTTAAGGTAAAGTTGTCCCTGTACGCATTAATTGACCAGCACGCCATGAAGATGTAACGGGTTGTGAAGGCATAGCTGCAGCATTAGATGGAGGTGACTGTTCAGCTTCATGCCCTGCCCACTTTATCCCCTGGGGAGAAGCCCGCAGTACCTACTGGATATGAGGCTGGGTGGGCCCCACAGGTTCACGGCAGATAGCCGCAGTTCCAGATACAGTTGATCCCCCCCCCCCCGCAGCCTGTCATGCTGACAACTTGACACCCTCGGCCGGAAGACATGTCGACAATAGTGGGGTAGTGTTCGAGATAAGGAGCTGTAACCCAGTCAGAGTGGTGTCAACGTCAAGAGAAAACCACTTCCAAATTGTAAAAGGGCAAAAACATGACACCCCGTGTCCAGGCACAAGTAAGATAGAAAAGAGGGACCCGACCGGCGAAGGTCGTGCCGCGATAGCGAAACGGGTTCGTGGTGGTGTACTGCGGGACTCGGGAAGTGATTCAGGCGCATTTCGAAGTGGGGGAGAAAAACATTATGTGTGCGTAGGAGTTGCTTTCGTTGTAATTGGCCCCTCAGTGAATTCAGTTCTAAAATTAGTGTAGATTCTAGTGTGGCACCCGTTGAGAAGTCAACGGGAAGTCTCATAATTTGTTATAGAAGCCTTCCTACTGTTAACTTCCTCTGCTTCCTCTCGTATTCCTCTCCATTCCTACATGTTATCGAATGATGCGTTCAGGCCGACGTTTAACTCCATCTCACACGAATAAGACGTATAAATAGTCAACTGTAGACCATCTTTATACAAAGTGTCCCAGGAGGGAAGGTCAGTATTCTGGGAGGTCACAGTGTCGATCATTCTAAGCAAAAAATATATATGTACATGTGTCCTATTCCGAGCGGTTTCCGAGATAACAGTACCAAAACTGTTGATAAGAAAGAGATATTACGCACTGTATCTAACACCGGTATTTACTGTTCAAGTGACAAAGTTGGTACAGTTTACTTAGTATAATACATTTGCGAAAATTCCACCGTCAACACCAGTGCACTTTGCAAATCGTGTGAGGACATGGCGTGTTGCTCGTCTGTACAGTGTACAGTGTACTGAACAGTGAAACAGCTCTATCTTGGAAACCGTTCGGAATAGGACACATGTACATATATATTTTTTGTTTAGAATGGCCGATACTATGACCTCCCAGAATATTCACTTTCCTCCTGTGACAATGTGTATAGTGTACTGCACTTTACAATATACACATAAAATATTATCATTATTCACAGAATAGGCACGATAAACTGAAACAGAAGATTTACTGTCCGTTCGTAACCTACCACGTAACTAAGGTCCTTCCAACTTGTTACGAGCTCAGCAGTTCATTGCTGAGGGAATCCGAAATTGCTTGCAGTGACAGAGACAGAGGATGTGTGTGACTCTGAAACCAGCAAAGTGTTTACGGGAATGTCCCAGCGGCTCCGGCCGCTCGAACTCTGAGGTTGCGCCATCGAAACCCGCTCCAGGAATGGATATCTGCGTTGTATTGTCCTGGTTACATAGAGGTCTTGCTGTTGGCCGATCTCCCGTCTAAGGGATCACAGTTCCAGTCTTATTTCTGAATCAGAACTGACCACAGCCACTAGACATGAAGATAGCAGCTGTACTGATGATATGTCATTACTGATCTTACGGTATGACGATGATTAATCGTTGATGGTGATGCTGCTCTTGGGTCTTTGCCCCGTGTCGATGTGGGCAGCGTTGCCGAAATTCGGGAGTCCTCGCCCTTCTCTTCGTGCGTCTGTTGGACTAGAACGATACAGGAATACTCACTCCCTCAGTTCTACCCTGAAGATGTGGGCAATATGTAACTGCGAACGTCGGCAGCACTGCTCACAACGACACAAGATCAGAATGAGCATGAACAATGTAACGGACTCTCCTCTGTCAGGAAACCCCTGTTCCTGACGCCCCAGTCGTTTCGGGGAGGAGACAACTTGAAACTGCCGCCCTATGAATGATATTATCAGTGTATACATGAGTCTTATCGTCTGAGATATATTATTATTATTATTATTATTATTACTATTATTATTATTGTTATTAGTGGGGGGAGACTGGGTCCACTTGGCACTGTGGCCACTTCTGGCCTATTGTAGCAGCCACAGATGATAGGTGATGGTGATTGTGGAGCAATCGGTGGAGTGAAGACTGGCAGGGGAAACCTGTCCCAGTGCCACTGTCCACATGACCTGACGCGGGCCGCCACGGCGAGAAGCCAGCGACCAACCGTCCGAGCTATGGCAGTGCCTACCTTAGACTATACAAACTTGGGAAATATCAGACGATACTCAAACAGTAGGCGTACATAAGGAACGTTTCTCTTGGGTGAGACGCCATGTAGTATGGTAGAATTTTCAGCCAGACTACACGGCATCATATCCCAGAAGACAGTGACCGCTGTGAGAACGTATATACGTTACCATGGCAACAACAGCGTCCTTGGTACCCTGTCGTCCTGTCTGCCTCTGTTGAACGCTTCGGCGAACTGACCATGCCAATATGGGTTAAGCTTCACCTAACTTCAATAGGCTAATGGACTGTATCGATTCCTCCTTCCAGCCTGTGGTCTACACAAAGGGCTGTCCACTGAACCAGCATCGCATTGCAGTGGTTAGTGCTGATACGTGATGAAGAGGCGCCCGTTGTAATATCGGTAAATACATAGCTGTTTTTCTGGTCCGTTCAGCCAAATGACAAGATACGTAGTAATTTAAAATAGGCCACAACCTCATCCATCCCATCTGACACTCAGCACTGTGTGACACGCCCCCTCAAAATGAAACCAAGAGATAAGACATTGTTTCTAAAGATTTCCGCAAATGCGCATGTTCGTATCTGCTTTTTCGTGCGGCATCCTGTTGTGTAAGTCACTACTATCTATCTGTGTTCCGTCTGTCGCAACAAACTTACTTATAAATAAACAGAGTTTCTATTTACTAGAACACACGGAACATGACCATCATCGGACGTTACTGAACTGCCGTTGCAGACAGTCTTGTCGTACTGAACCTTTTCCGAGAATTACAATATTATTTATTTCAAATTATAGTTATTAGTTAAAATCTGAGGTTAAGTTAAGCACAGCTTGCTGTGTAGCGGTATAGGGGCAGGGAGGCGGTACGCATTGAATGCTACCGGGTTTAGGGCATGCTGTATGTGGGGGCGTGGACCGCCTCTGTGGTCTAGTGGTCAGCGTTCCTGGCTACAGATCCAGAGGTCCGGAGTCGATTCCCAGCGCTACCAGATTTTTTCGGAGAAGTGGTGAGTCTGAAACGGGGTCCACTCAGCCTCGTGATGATAATTGAGGAGCTGTTTCAAGGAAATAGCGGCTCCGGTCTAGGGATCCGAAATTAACGGCCGTGGGGATTCGTTGCGCTGACCACGCGACACCCTCTATCCGCAAAAGCTGGCACTAAACTTCGCCGACAAGCGGCGGTCGCTCGGTCGGTATAGTTCGCTTGCGGACTGAAGTCAACGGAGGGTTTTTTTTTGGGGGGGGGGGTTGGGGGTGCTTTGTATATGTATTTTAGTGGAGGCTGCGCAGTTCGAGTTCCGTATATTAGTGTATTTAGTGCTGATGGCTTCGTGTTTGAGCCTGCTTGGAGCCTGCAGCAGTGCAGAACTGCTCTTCTCGCTGATCGGAAATGGGGGGGGGGCTCACAGATTTATGTATTATTTTAGAAGTCGCAGTCTCACAAAATTTGACACCCCTGCCGTAGACGTTATATTGGGCCTATAGAGAACATGTTGAATATTGATGTCTTATGTGGTGCGTTGCCTCGTAGTCTGACA